CAAGCCCCAGAGGTGAGACAGGAGAAGGGGGCAAGAGAAATCACACCCAGTCTAGAGACAGGAGCTTGAATATGCTGTAGTCGAGGTCTTGAGCTTCGGGGAAGGGCCTAGACTTTTGACAGTCTTTCTGAGAGAACAGGAAAGGGAAGAGCTGGAAACTCCAGTATAACATAAGTTTCTGTGTTATGATTTGGGGACTTTTTTTATTGATTTTTATTGAGCTCTACATTTTTCTCTGCTCCCCTCCCTGCCTTTCTCCTCCCCCTTCAACCCTTCCCCATGGTCCCCATACTCCCAGTTTACTCAGGAGATCTTGTCTTTTTCTACTTCCCATGTAGATTAGGTCTATGTAAGTCTCTCTTAGTGTCCTCATTGTTGTCTAAGTTCTTTGGGATTGTAGTTTGCAGGCTGGTTTTCTTTGCTTTATGTTTAAAAACCACCTATGAGTGAGTACATGTGATAATTGTCTTTCTGTGTCTGGGTTACCTCACTCAAAATAATGTTTTCTAGCTCCATCCATTTTCCTGCAAAATTCAAACTGTCTTTTTTTTCTGCTGTGTAGTACTCCATTGTGTAAATGTACCACATTCTCCTTATCCATTCTTCGGTCGAGGGGCATTTAGGTTGTTCCCATGTTCTGGCTATGACAAACAAAGCTGCTATGAACATAGCTGGAGGCGCCACATTTGAAGAGTCTGTTGGTGCCCCATCTTTTTTGAAGGAGGCCTCACCTCAGGGCTGCTGCCAGAAACCGGTATTTCAGTCTGTGTTATGAGAAGTCCGTCCCATCCTTTCTGCCTCTTCCTTTCCATTAAGCACTGTAAACGTCATAGTCAGCGGGTCTCTCTGAGGGATTTGAGGCCGTCATCTAGACTCTAAGCTTTCTCCTAACAGCAGGGGCTGCTTGGGAAAGTAAACAAGTCAGAGGACAGGCATGCCCTCTTGAGCATCAGGGCCCAGTGTGCTGTACGGAAGGAGAGCCTCGGTGAGCTGAGCAAGGAACTCAGCAGGATTTTATCTGGCCTCTGTGTGATCCTCCTAAGTTTGTCAAAATTGACCACTTTTTGGGAGACCTTGTGTAGGCTGGCCATGAGGTAAAAACTCTTTTATTAGTCGGGCGGTGGTGGCACACGCCTTTAATCCCAGCACTTGGGAGGCAGAGGCAGGCGGATCTCTGTGAGTTCGAGACCAGCCTGGTCTACAAGAGCTAGTTCCAGGACAGGCTCCAAAACCAGAGAAACCCTGTCTTGAAAAACCAAAAACAAACAAACAAACAAACAAACAAACAAACAAACAAAAAAAACAAAACCATAAAAGCTAAAATAAAACATGGGAATATTTATCACCAGTTCCATGTTCACAGATAAAATACTTAATCATCTTAGTTTTTTCTCAATTACAAGAATATTTAAAAAAACAAAAGTAAAAAAACCCTCAACTCAAATGAAAGCTTTGCTTTTTTTAAAAAATTGATTTTATTGAACTCCACATTTTTCTCTGTTCCCCTCCCTTCGTCTCCCCTCCCCTCTCCTTCAACCCTCTCCCAAGGTCCCCATCTCCCAATTTACTCAGGAGATCTTGCCTTTTTCTACTTCTCATGTAGATTAGATCCATGTATGTTTCTCTTAGGGTCCTCATTGTTGTCTAGGTTCTTTAGAATTGTGATTTGTGGGCTGGTTTTCTTTGCTTCATGTCTAAAAGCCACTTATGCGTGAGTACATATGATATTTGTCTTTCTGGGTCTGAGTTACCTCACTCAGTATGATGTATTTTAGATCCATCCATTTGCCTGCAAGGGAGCTTTGCTCTTTGTCTAATATATGATCAGGTCTTTAGTAAATGCTAGCTATTACTATAATTATTATGATTGTTTAATAACTATAGAGAAGGAAGTTCCTTAACATAAAAGGAGTATCAGAAAATTGATTAATAGGATTGTGCAAAATAATCTACTTTATTTATTAATGCAAAAAGCAAGGAATAAGGGATAAATGTTTACAAACATGACAAAGGATATCCTTAATATAGAAAGGGCATTTAAAAACCAAGAAGCAAGGTCAAAGAGAAGGCTCAGTGTGTAAAGGTGTTTGTTATCAAGCCTGATGACCTGAGTTTGATCCCTGGGATTAAAAGGCAGGAGAACCAACACTCACAAGTTATCCTTTGACCTGAACATACACAGCCATATTGTCCTGGTTAGTTTTGCCGTGAACTTGACCACTTGGGAAGTGGTTAAGTGAATAACTGTCTGGATTGAACTGACTTGTGGGCATGCCTGTGAAGAAGCATTTCAATTGCTAATTGATAAAGGGGGCTCAGCCCACTGAGACAGGTGGGCTTGGGCTGTGTAAGAAAGGTAGCTGAGGGCTCGCTGGTGTGCTTGCGGCGGTGGTGGCGGCGGCGCGTGGCAGGTCCGGCGGGTGGGAGGCAGCGGCGGTGGCCCGAACCCGGCCCAGCCTCGTCCGCCCTCGGCCCGCCCGGCCTGACCCCGGCCCCGGCCTGACCCGAAGTGCCGCGGCCTCGCTCTGGCCCGGCCCGGTCGGGAGCCTCCGAAGGGAGCGGCTCCGCCTGCCGAGAGCGCAGGCCCGGCCATGACCGACTTTAAATTGGGCATTCGGCCGGGAAGACCAAATACACACTGATAGATGAGCAAGACATACCACTGGTGGAGAGCTACTCCTTTGAGGCTCGAATGGAAGTAGAAGCCGAAGGAAATGGTGCTAAGATATTTGCATATGCCTTCGACAAAAACCGAGGAAGGGGCTCAGGCAGGTTTCTGCATGAGCTACTGTGGGAACGACACAGGGGAGGTGTGGCTCCCGGGTTTCAGGTGGTACATCTCAAGGCTGTGACTGTGGACAATCGTCTGGACAACCTGCAGTTAGTACCGTGGGGCTGGCGACCCAAAGCTGAAGAGACCTCCAGCAAACAAAGGGAGCAAAGCTTATACTGGCTTGCTACCCAGCAGCTTCCCACAAACCCTATAGAAAAACAGTTCCCTGTCCTGAATGTGACCCGGTACTATAATGCCAATGGAGATGTGGTGGAAGAGGAAGAGAATTCCTGTACCTACTATGAGTGTCACTATCCTCCTTGTACAGTGATTGAGAAGCAGCTTCGGGAGTTCAATATCTGTGGGCGTTGCCAGGTGGCTCGATATTGTGGCTCTCAGTGCCAGCAGAAGGACTGGCCTGCCCACAAGAAGCACTGCCGGGAGAGGAAGCGTCCGTTTCAGCATGAGCTTGAGCCAGAGCGATGACGGGCTCTAGTGCTGCCACTGCTGCAGGTTCAAGGTTTCCAGTTCGTAATGAGCACAGTGGAAGATAGACTGGCAGTTGAACCTGGAGGTGCCAAAGAAGCCAGCAATGGATCCAGAGCAGCTGCCATAAGACCTCACAGCGACATGAAGCCTGTGGGGACAGTGCCCCTCCAGTGTTCACCCCCAGCAGAGACAATGGGAGGCTCCCTAGGACCTTTCTCATTATTTATATGTTAATATGTTTGTAAACTCATGTACAGTTTTTTTTGGGGGGGGGAGTGAGGGGAGGGTTAGAAACTTCAAATAGAATCATTTGTTGTATTCCTCAAAAAAAAAAAAAAAAAAAAGGTAGCTGAGGAAGCCAAGGGGAAGTAAGCCAGTAACTGCCTTCCTCTAGGGTCTCGCTGCCCTGACTTCCCTTGATGATAATACTGTAACCTGTGAAATTCTGTAGTAAACTCTTTCCTCCTCAGGTAATCTTATGTGTGGGTGTTTTGCGTGCATGTGTGTATGTACACCATGTGTGTCCCTGTGGAAACTGGAGAGGGTGTCTGACTCCTTGGAACTAGAGTTAACAGGAGTTGAGAGCTACCACCTGGGTGTTGGGAACTGAACCCTGGTCCTCTGGAAGTGCAGCTAGTGTCCTTAACAGCTGAGCCATTTCTCCAGCCCTTCATCAGTGTTTTATCACTGCAACAAAAAGCAAACCAGGAAACACACACTCATGCACACACGCACGTACTCACACATGCACAAATCAGTAAACAAGGGCTAGAGAGATGGCTCAACGGTTAAGAGCAAGGGCTATTCTTACAGAGTCCTGGGTTCAATTCCCAGCACCCATAGAGAAGCTCACAATTGTCTGTAACTCCAATTCCAAAAGCTCCAACACCCTCACGCAGACACATATGCAGGCAAAATACCAATGTTAATAAAAATAAATCATATTAAAAATCAGTAAGTAAGGCATCATCTCAGTAGAAAACGGGTGGGGTGAGCAAACATTTCTAAGATACAAGCATTACTACTGGGTGAGCAGGGAAGTGCGGGCAGGGTGACAGAAATCAGGAAGTAAGAAAGGACCCTGGGATTAGGAGTTCAAGGACAGCTTTAGCTACACAGTCAGTTTGAGGCCAGCCTGGGGAACCTGAGACCCCCTTACTCAAATAAACAAGTTTAACTGTAGTACTGAATACATGCAAAAGAAAGCAATCTGAGAAAGCTTGCTTTTGGGTGGCCGCTGGCAGCAGTAAATTGAGATGGACTCTCACTCCCTGAGAGGGAACGGGTAAGCCCTATTTGGGAAACTATGGCTGTGTGTGTGGAGTTTTGAGCCTGTGAGTCAATACTTCCTCATTTCAGGAATCTATTCTGAGGACTATCTCAGGCAGCGCTACTCACCATTCTTCTCTAATCCTCTTAATAAAAAAACAAGGATGAAAATAAATTAAGAACTCATCCCAAGAAGCCAGGAGAAAAACATTAGAAAAATCCCTACAAGGTAAACGAAAGGAGCTGTGTTTTACATTTTATGAGGGTCCAGAGTTTTCTCCCAGGGTTTCTGGCTCTAAGTTCTTGTTTTACTGCCTCATGGAGAAGAAGAGGATAATATGATTTCTGCCTCTTGGTGGACAAATGACTTAATTTTTTATAAGTGAAGCAACAGTGCTGAACAACTGAATAGTCTGGTCTCTGTGTACCAAATTCTGTTATGAATACAAAAACAAGTTTGTTTGTTACTATCTAATTATTTCCCTGTTTTGCCTGTTGGTTTATTAAACCCTGCAGTTTGTTAACATCACCAACCGTGTGGTTTTACACTCCTTTCCTTTCAAACAGTTACTGCCTTATACACTGTAAAGCATGCACTTTCGGGATTATTAGCTCATAGGTAGGCTAAACTTCCTAACAGAATAAGCTGACTTTTCACTCTTAAAATTCTTTAACGAGTGTGTGTGACTGTATGTGGGTGTGTGCATGTGCGTGCAGTGCCTGAAGAGGCCAGAAGTGTGAGATCACCTGGAACTGGTTGTCAGCCACCTGAGATGGATGCTAGGAACCAAATTTGGGTCCTCTGGAGGAGCAGTACACGTTCACAACCATTGAGCCATCTCTCCATCCCCAACTTTTCACTCTCTAAAGTATTTGTTCCTAGGATGTCTAGCCCACCTTCATTAGTGAGACATCTCTCCCCCTGTTGATTTAGTTTGCATTACTGCTCACTATTGCCTCTTCTTGTTTCAATTTTCCCACACTTTAAGTATGTTTCATACATTTGAATGCTTAGTCTCTAGGAAGTAGCACCATTTGAAAGGATTAAAAGGATAAGGAGGTATGGCCTTGTGGAGGAAGTGTGTCACTGGGGGTGGGCTTTGAGGTTTCAAAAGCCCGGAGTGTGTGTGTCTGTGTGTGTGTGTGTGTGTGTGTATGTCTCTCTCTCTCTCTCTCTCTCTCTCTCTCTCTCTCTCTCTCTCTCTCTCTCTCTCTGCTTACAGATCAGGATATAGCTCTAAGCTACTACCCTAGCAGCTGCAAGCAGTCTGCCTTGTTCCCCACGTGATGATAATGGACTAAGCCTCTGAAATTGTAAACAAGTCCCAATTAAATGCTTTCTTTCATAAGAGTTGCCTTGCTCATGGTGTCTCTTCACAGCAATAGAACAGTAACTAAGACACATTCAGATAATAAAAGAAAGGGTGTAATGGCACATACCTTTAACCCCAGCACTGGGGAGGCAGAGGCAGGCAGATCTCTGTGAGATCAAGGCCATCTTTATCTACACAGTGAGTTCCAGGACAGTCAGAGCTACACTGTAAGACTTTGCCTCAAAGAAGCCAAATAAATGAATGTATAAGCAAGCAAGCAAAAATAAAGGATGCATTCATGAAATGAGAACAATGCTGGAACAAAAGGACATTTGAAAAAAAGAGCAGAAATATTTTCAGGAGAAATTTTGGAAGATGAAGTTATTGTAAGATAAACTGTTGGAGCCTGGCAGTGGTGGTGTACTCCTTTAATACCAGTACTTGGAAGGCAAAGGCAGGTAGATTTCTGTGAGTTCAAGGCCAGCCCGGTATAGAGAAAGAGTTTCAGGATAGCCAGGACTACACAGAGAAACCCTGTCTTGTCAGGAGCCATTTCCCTCCTAAAAATCATTACAGGAACCATCACCCTAGGGAGTCTGCAGAGAACCCCACACCCATAATTATGTTCTATTGAGAAAACCTGCCCCTCACCCAATTAACTGTTAATCTGTTAGAGGAACCCGACTCACATTCCAGCTATCCAGGGAACTAGGTGTGGCAACTTGTGACTTCTGGCCTACCCGTCCGAATGTAACCTGGCTTACGTGACCGGAACCACGCGCATCCCGTGCCCTGCCCACCAAGTCCTCATGCAGGGCCTATATAAGCAGCAACCATGACCCTAATAAACGGAGGCTTTGACAAATCTGCTTGGCCTCCTTCTTCTGTCTTAGCTCATTCCCTTCCAGGTAGTGCCCCTCCGTGACCCTGGAATAACTGATTGCAGGGTGGGTTACAAACCCCTAGACTGAGTAACCCACCCCAACGCAATCGACACTGTCTCAAAAAAAAAAAAAAAACCCCACAAACAAAAAAGATAATCTGTTAGGAGAAATATATAAAGTAGAACTGAAAAAGAAAAGTAGAACTGAAAAGAAAAATTTAAAAAACTTGTTGAGGATAACCCAAGACATTTCTCATCCATCTAACAGAGGGAGTTCAAGGAAAACAGAACACAGAACATAACAGAGAGAACACTACCATAGAAATCATTTAAGGCCATATCACAAAACCAGGGTGATACCTCTCCTAATAAAAGGCTTAAGGAGAGCCCAGCACTATAAACACAAAGAATAACAAACAAAAGCCCTGATGCACATTGTTGAGAAGTCACAGGACACAGCCTAGAGAAATAAGGGTTTTGGGAGAAAAAAAATAGTTCACATAGGAAGGGACCTGAGTCAAAGTGGCCTTGGACATCCCAACAGCAGGCAGCAGAACCAGCTGCTGAGAAAATGGTTTGTCCCTTCAAATTTCTTGAAAGAAAGAGAGAAAGAAAGAGAAAATCCCCAATCTAGAACTTTAAACACAGGCAAGCAAAGATGGAAATGAAAGTCGACTCATTTTCTTGGTTTGCCTCCCATACACACCTTCTCAGGAAGCTACTGAGGCGTCCATTCCATCAACCCAAAGATGAGAACCAAAAAGAAGCCAGGAAACAGGGAATGGAGCTCGGGGAGCTAAGGGCACCCGCAGATGAAGAGAACAGAGGCGTTGCAATGCACAGCTCTAGAAAGCAAACAGACTGCAGCAGATGCGCAGGGCTCTCAGACTAGCACCAAGAAATCAGTGAGCTCTCTGACATCTTTACGGTGTCAAGGCAGCAAGCATGAGGACTGAGTGGTGATGATAAGCAGTCTCAGCTCCCAATCAGAGCCCGTTATTACCACTATGTGGTATACAAGGAAAACGCTTATTGTAGGTAGTATTCCTAAACTTACTAAACTACGAATACTGCCCTATTTTTTTTAATGCTTAGTATTTGGAATTCACACTGCAAGCAGCGTTCAGTATTTAAAGCCTCTCGTTCTGATAAACTAGAACTCCACGCCCCACTCTACTGTTTCCAAACAGTCTCAAAACAATGATGGCTGAGAGCACAAACACAAAAGACAGCCAGACTTAGAGATAGTTCTGCTAACTGCACAACAACAGCACATAGATCTAGGACATTAAAAACCACGATTGACTAGAATCCATGCTAATAATACAACGATGATTCACTACTGCCTATTATAATATTTTATTATATTAAGAGATTAAAAGACAACAATGATATGATTATTTCCGCAAGTGAAGGACATTTGATATAATTCGATATCCACTCTTAATGAAAACTCTTAATAAAATGAACAACAATGAATACTTCCTTGATGGGACCCAGCGAGAGCAGATGGGCTAGTGTCACTCAGAACTTGGCGTGATGTTTTATGAAAAGATGTAGAAGCGGACCGTCTGAAAACAAGAGCAGGACAAGTGTTCTCAGGCCCATCTGCCTTATTCGTGTGGAGCTGCTCTGGGGGCCGAGAGACCCAGACAAGAGGAGAACACGAACAATGCAAAGGGCAAAGCACTGTCTCCTGAGTGCCCAGAGCCAGGCATGGGCTGAGCAGCCAGCAGCACGTTAGCAGTGCTGAGGCACAAACTCGGTCCACAGAAGTTAAGGAAACAAAGAATAAACATA